ATAAATAATTCCTTTCAAAAATTAATCAGTTCCATATATTAAAAGAATCGATTTATTTAAGATCGAGCTCATGAACGATTTCATTGTGTACACGTAAAACGTTAGATGACGTCATAGTGTTTTTTTTTTTGTTTTACTCGAAAAAGTTCCAATATTCAACAGCAAATATTTCTGTAACGGATGCTCGTACCTTTTAATGTCCAATGAAGAAAATGTAGGGAATAGTCCCCGCTTTTAGGATATGGCATTCATTTTTTTTATCGTGTGCTGTAAGTGAGATACAACCTACAGAAGATAGCACAAAATCACTTATTTATGCGTAATTTTACTAACTTCCCGCAATTATATTCAATGTTCAATTTAAGTTAACAATAATTTCTTAACATCGCAGAGAAAAACTGATAGTTGAAAAATTGTTGTGTTTCTTCTCTAGTTTCAGAGAATATGAACTGTTTTGTTGTATCCCAATTATTTACAAAACGTCAATAGTTAAATCACTGTGATGCTGAAAATGCGCAAAAGGCGCACTTGGCCGTTAAGGGGTTAAGTGAGCAGTGAAGGATATAACAAAACAGTTATAGACTGGGATTCGGGCAACATATGATTTGTTGGACCCGAAGTATAAAATGTTCCCTTTCACCTGCGGCCTCAGACAACATTTTCATCTTCAGGTACATCAAATCATCTGTTGCTCTCATACCCAGTCAATAGCTGTAAAATATGTTAGGCTTTTATAATCAACTATTTTCCTCAAAAAGATTACTGCATAATAAAAGCGAGAGTTTTTATTGCATGTGATCTATAATATTTCAGGTACAGTGTACAAAAGAATGCATATAATGATTATTACTTTTATCTATAAAAATAATTAACCAGCGTAGCTAGCTTAGTCCCTCAAGATAAAAAACACAGTAAGAATGCAATTCTAGTGCAGAGATAATTTATATGGTACAGTGATATAAAATATCTAAAGACGATAATGTGGGACACAAAAAAGTCATAACAAAATCTTAAATCTCAAAATCAATAAAAAATAATCCTTTTAACATGTATTTAGTACATACTGTAATGTGTATCCTTGCGTAGGGTTCTCAGGGGATAATTTTTTCTCTTACTTTACCGGAGTTTATGATTGGACTTTTCACAGAATAATTTTTTTCCTAAACCTATCTGGGTTTTTCTATTATATCTAAATCAAGCAATTATATACAAGTGTGGCTAAATTATTGTGACTTGGTAACTTTTAACTAAGCACCGTGTACCTTGCCAATGGTTCCTATTGATGGCGGATACTAGTAGTTTCGTTCTTATTCAGATCTACCCCCCCAATATCTCCCTCAATTCCCTGGGATTCTTGCCACTGGTGCAATGTCCTATTTCTTTTATTGTACCATGAGTACACTGTACCCCCTTCGTTAATAGCAAAACATGACAATATCACATTTTATAGTCGTCCTGAGTTCTTACTGTGTGTTCCATGCCCTAATTGTGGCGGTGGGTAGGTGAGACAGGCTGCTGTACAAAAGTAGATGAAGCAGAGAAAACAAAACACTATAACAAGAATGGACTGCATTATACAACACTGTACGTTTGTAGAGGACTTACACATGTATAACAATAGTTATACTTAAAACTTATCTCTTATCATTTTCATAACTCTTTGTGTTGCATTATTTCTAAATAATGCAATTAATGTTTATTCCAATGTATATCTTTGTGCAATTTACTAAGGAATATTGAATCGCTTTGATTTTTAAAAGAGTTTTCCTATGAATTACTATGTTAATTTTTGACACACGATTGTGGTCCCATTTTACACCCAGGGTCATGATTTGAACAAACTTAAATCTACACTATATGAATATTGGTTCTACATGAGTTTCATCTCTTTTGGCCCAGTGGATCTTTAAAGAAAGATTTTTGAAAGATTGTTCCTATGTATCCGTATGTTAAACTTTGATACGCAATGTGGCCCCACCCTACCCCCCGACATCATGATCTGAAGAAGGCCACATCCTACACATGGGGGGTCATGATTTGAACAAATTTGAATTTACACTATCAGGAGATGCTTCTTCATGAGTTTCATCAATTCTGACCCATTGTTTCTTAAGAAGAAGACTTTTAAAATATCGTTACGCCATTAATTTGTCACTTATTCATAATTATCTCTCTTTGGAAAGAAGACATGGCGCTTTATTTGAACAAACTTGAATCTCCTTCACCCAAGAATACTTTGTGGCAAGTTTGGTTGAAATTGGCCCATTAGTTCTTAAGAAGAAGATAAAAATGTGTTAAGTTAACGACGACAACGACGACGACAGACAACGGACAAATTTCGATCAGAAAAGCTCACTTGAGCCTTCAGCTCAGGTGAGCTAACTGGCTTACATTTGGTACATGTAACTAGGTCGATGAAGCTGAGGGTATCGGAATTCACGTAACATCAACATCCTACTCGTAAAAACTCTAAATTGAGTAGCAAATAAGTTTGAAAACATGACAGCATAAGCAGATGAAAGTAAAGTGTTACTAAATGAATTAGAAATCTTGATAGAAAAGCTGGTCATCTCATTTGTCACACTATTTCATTGTAACTTTATAGTAAGCTTGTATATTCAATGGTCAGTAAAACTTCAAAACTGGAAATAGAGTTGACAGAGTCTGGGATACATCAAGGCCATCTATGAATAAAAACAACTAAAATTGTTATTTCTGAATGTCGAACCAAAGACTACTGCATATGTTTTCTTCTCAAATAGTTTCAGATTTGGATGTTTCACTGATTATTAAATATTAAGGCTAACTATTATGTAACAATAAAATAGCATGTTAAACGAGATACCAGCTTTTTAACCAAGTTTCCTAATGTATTTATTAAAATCCAACTTTCTCCTGCTTATGCTGTTGTTTTCAAACTTATTTGCTACTCAAAGCTTCAATACATGTACCAAATATCGGGTAACCTACATGTGAGTGAGTTGTCTGTTCCGGCTTGTTTCAAACCAACTGTAAGGCTTTCGTTTTTATAGAGAATTTGTCTACGAAAAGTATCAACGACCTGATCAATGCATATGATGGTGTGATCGGTAAACAATTACGTTAGATATCACTTATCCGTGGTCAAATAGTATCTGTGCTATTTTTGAATGAAAAACAAAGGGAAATTATGTTTATCTCCTTAATGTGGCAGCACAGTCACTATGATATTACGTCAAATGGTTCTGCTATGCTTATATGACACAATTCACAAATGACATCATATAGCTTCTTTGAATTTCTAATAGCCTTAACTGTTACAGTAGAAATATAAAATTATAATTTGTAGTACTTTACTTTACATTAGCTTATATGTGAACACAATTAAATTCACATTAGTTTAAATCAGATTTTATTTCCCATGAATTTACTGTTAATTTATCTATTCTTGGGAACAGCAACCTACTGAGTATCCCAATCTAATATGAAGAAATGTCATACAACTCTGTAGGAATGAGAGAATGTAATGGTGTATATCATATAACAAAAGTTAAGATAAGTTTCATACCTTATAATTTAATTTCAATGTAAACAATGAGACAATTTTTTTCCATTTTCTTCCTCGGAAAAAGGCTTTAAGGATATCCGATCCTCAGTTAGGAGGGATAACTCCAAAATTTAATATTTTATTTAAAAACCGTCAAAATGAACCTTGAAAATCAATTTTTTCATGAAACAATTTTCATTTTATTCATCTTTATAAGATTCACGGTTTTTGGAAGTCTTAGAAAAGGTCTTATAAAAGTTAACATTTGTACCCTATAAAAGGAAAAAAAAATACAGTTTTAGGAAAATAAGATTTTCTTGTATTAATCCTGAGATACTAATTCTTATTAGCACGATAAGAAATAAGAAGTGATTTGTGATGTCTTGCAATGACAGCAAAAGCCTTTAACACTATATATATTAGAATGCAAGACGAATATCGAAGACAAAAAAATACCAAATAAGTATAAAAATCATGACAATTTCTCTGAATGCTTGGATACCTATCATTTTCAACCGAAAATATATTTGTTGATCAATTTGCAATAAGAAAATGCATTGCTGATATTCCAATTTGCTTTTTCTGCAAAAATATTGGAAAACTGACAATTTTCCCTATATAATATGATTAACTTTAATATTTAATTTTAAAGAAATACTGTGGATAAATTAACATAACTTTGTGGAAATACTTTTATGATACTTTTATGAGTATTTTTGATTGCTTAACTGATAATTTTATAAACCTGAGTATCGCACTACCTTAAATATCGCATATTTTAAAAGTTAACATCAAGCAGATAATACGATTTTGACTTAACTCGTTGTGACGTTGGCAAGTTATGTTAAACAAAATGGATAAAACCGTTTAACCAATCAAATGACGCGTTACAACTAAAATTGAATTATTTGTAAAAAGAAAAGTAACTGACTTTAAATTACACATGTACATGCATGCAGTCTTTCGATAAAAAATAGAAGAAATATACATACATGTAATTATTTTTACACAGCTGAATCAAAATTATAACCTGAAAACTTTTTTTTTCAACTTCATTGCCAATTTTTTTTTTTTGGTCTTTTGTTTATAAAACAGTAGTTTTTCAGGAGTTTCAGTTTTATTTTTGCTTTTATATTCTCATTCTTGTTGTTATCATTTACCTTCTGACTAGAATAGAAATCATCTTCCATGCCACTGCTGACAGATTCGAATATGTAGCAAATAATTAGTTGCAATTGTCAATAATTTGATAGATAAAATGTTACAGTAATGATCTCCTGAAATTGAAAAAAAAATGAAATTGTATAGGAGGTGAAATTGTTTGCAATGTAGCAATAAATAATGTTGACCCCCCTCCCTCAGAGCATACAGTTTATACGATTAACAACACAGTGTTTTATAAGCACAAGAAGTAATCAATTCATATTATCACAGATCTTTAACGCTCCTGTATCAACTGCTGGATCCACCCTTTATTAGTCACTTATTGATCAGCAGCCTGCTCTCACTCCCTCCACTAGAAGAGCTACAGCTGCTGTTCTGATCATCTGCCTTTGCTGTTACAACTGACACCCCAGTCTGTGTTTGAGGCTGTGAGCTTGTTTTTTCCTTAAAATAAATGTATATTCAATCACAATATATACAAGTAACACACTGTACAGGTATAGTTTTTGATGTACATGCAGTAAATACTAAAGTATCTGAGAGGGATGGAGTAAATTAAAGTCAGTTGTTGTAAATTGTAAACTTTTACCTGTTTTAAAATACCAGTCCAAAGGGAGCGAGCTTCTCCTCTAATACACCAATCACAAATGTTGTTACAAGAGTAAATGGCACAAGGTACAACAATGCTGGTTGGTCTTTGTCCATCAGATAAAGAGCAATAAAGGTCACCACGAGACCAAGGGCATATGCTGCAAAAAAGATAATTGGATGAAGCTGTCATTTCAAAGGCAAAATGGACATGAAAGGTGACAATTAAACTTAAGTTACGAGTCAAATTATTTTGATATAAATCTTTATATGTTCTATATTGCACCAAAGTTTGCTTTCTTTAAAATCTACGAGAGAGTTGAGGGGGCATGGTTCTAGAAAAATATAAACATAAATTCTATATCAGGAAAGCATGACTTTATATTTGCCCCTCTAATATTACATTCATATAAATTGTTCTGCCAGATTTAAAAAAAAAAGTAAATGATAATAAATAGAATAATTTTTTTCAAGAAGGAAACATTTATCAGCAACGATAAATCCCAGATTATTTCGTAAACCAGATATTCAAAAATCCTTTTTATTCACAAAAACTTAAGTAAAATATATTCTGACAAATTATCTCATTCCAGAAACAAAAAAGGCAATGCCAGTGCAATTACACTTAAACCCCTTCCTCACAGTAACGCATTTTTACGCATATACCATTTCCTATTTCTAACGCAAAATCACGCATATACCGTTTTTACCGCAATCACGCATTTTCACGCACTTTAAAAAGCTCATTTAATCTTTAATTTAATGCCAGTTTCCTTCTATTTTATACTTGCAAAAATCTCATAAAATAAGAAACGTTATTTTTGTATTAAAATGAACATCAGAATATGATTCACGCTAAACTTAAGAGAAACGTATACCGTGCTAAAAGGTGCTTGCGGGGAAATGGTAAATTTCTATTTCTATGACGTGGACATTAAGTGTATGGTGCATAACAGTTCAGTAAGTTGTAAAGAGTCCATGAATCTAACGCGCTTCATGAAATATGCCGTCATGAAGCGTCGTAGTTCATAACCTCATGAATCTTCAAAAATTAAATTCATTTCTTAATTGACCGTTCACGGTATCTCAATCGATAGAGCGCTCGCTACGTGATCGGGAGGTCGTGAGTTCGTATCTCGGCCGCGACTGACCTAGTCGTTAAAATTGGAAGCAACTGTTCCTTCGCCATGCGCTCGGCCCTTTGAAGTGAAAGTTGCGGGTCCTTCGGATGAGACCTTAAAAACCGAGGCCCGTGTCAGCGGCAGGCGTTGGCACGATAAAACTACGAGTAAAGGCAAAATTTGAAGCCCTTCACCGGCACACGGTGACGTCTACATATGAGTGAAAAATTTCGAGAGGGACGTTAAACAATATACAATCAATCAATCAATCGAATCGTAATCTTACCTATAACATTGGCTATAAAATAAATCTTTCTGGTGCCCAATCTTACGTCAAACCTGTTGTTATAACTGACCAGTAATCCTAAAGAGGAAAGATTTTTTATTATGAATAGCAATTCTTAGCATTATTGGTGAAGAAATTTATTTTAAGTGACAAATTGTAATTGCATAATCAAAGTACTGAAAGTACTGATGGGAGTTGATTATTAAATCAATTCGATGTATGATTGATTGATTTATATTGTTTAACGTCCCTCTCGAGAATTTTTGACTCATATGAAGATGCCATCACTTGCCGGTGGAGAACTGCAATTTTTTTACTTATACTCGGCACCCATTGACCAGAGAGAGAGAGGTCTTTTTTCAAGCCAGCACCTACTGCGACCAGGGACCTTCGTTTACACGGTCTCATCTAAAGGACCGGTCTCCAAGTCTTTCGGTGCATGCGATTCGAACCTGAATTCGATGTGTGTAACCTTGCCCACTTTCCAAATTATACTTATATTAATGCTTCTTGATTGAGGCATGTGTTCAAGAAGCAAATGCACAAGTGGATTTCGTGATCTTACAGATTCAAAGCGGTATGGTTTGTTCTACTGTAAATCTCTTATTATTAGAAATTTATTTCCGCGTAACTAAGCAAGACAGCGTAATTTCTCTCTCGCACATATACAATACTTTTGACAGTTTTTAAGATATAACCACAATTCGTAAAGAAATATTTTGTAATGCTAATAAATAGTTACATGTAATGACTATCTCGCGAAAATAAGATGTCTCGAAAATTAAGTGATCTACAGTAATTTGAAAATAGCTTGAACGATATGCGAAATCTTGTTAGATTGATTGTTTTCCTCACAGACTTCGTCCTTATCTTAATAGATGAAGGTTTGGAACTTGTACTTTCAGTATCTAAGATAAAAAAGGTTGTTTTAGGATGAAAATGATACTCAAGACAAATTTGAGAGAAAATGAATAACGCACTCAGTGGGGAAAATGCAATTATCTTAATTTAGGTATGGGGAAATACTAATATGGATAAATATTGACATAACTTGATAAAAATATCATCAAACGATTACGACATCACAATCAATTCATGAATAAGGAGGACAGCGTTTTTCGATATAATGAAATTTAATTGTAATAAAATAACAAATACAATCTAAATTGGTGATGAGAAAAGAACCACGTACTCTAACTCTTGATTCCCGCCTACATTTTGCACCCTTTGAATTCAATTTTAATGGCAATTTGGCCATAAAATCTTGGTTTAGTACAAAGAACAGATCTATGGTAATTGATTAATCATTTTAATTCCAGCTCTAAATAGTAAATGATCATTAATTTCAGCTCCTCAAAAAAGGGGGGTAGACGATATTTTCTAGTGAAATCGAACTTTCAAGAATCACTTAATTATGAAATAGTCTTAAATATGATTAAATGTATTTCATATCTTTTCTTATGCTGTACACAAATAAATAAAACATATATAGATTATAAAAATTCAATTATTTAGTTGTAAATAGCTTTAGAATTGGTAAAAAGTCAAAAAAATTTTCGTTTTTTGTCTATAAACATATGATCCCCCCCCCCCCCCCCCCCCCCCGTGAAACACAAAAAACTTTGGCATAAATTTGTAAAATGGCAGTTTATATTACCTGTAAAAAGGAATTTTTGTTTCATGGGGGGAAAGATGTTTTAAAAATATTTTCCGTTTTCCATTGATTTCTATAGTGAAATACTCAAGTTTTACCATAATTATAGAGTTATCTTTCTTTGGTATCCCAAAAATGTAACGTTTTATGAAAATTCATATAAATATCTATAAAAAGTCTGAAAATCATTCAAATATGTTAACTTTTGAAAATTGACTTAATGCTAGGCGGGAGAACAATACTATCGTTCGTGGTTCTTAACGGAACTTTACTTTGAAGGTATTTCACAAATAAAGATTTTGGTTCACAATATTCATCTTGTAAAATAGGAAAAGACTATTCAAGCCCATATCAACAAATTATCATCGCTAGTATTATGTCTAAGTGTAGGGTTAATCTATCAGATTCAGAAATTACATTTCCTACAGCAAAATTAGTAACAAATTTTTACACACCAGGTATTGAGTTTTAAAAAAATCAATTGACTTTTTTCACAGATTGAGCAGGAGTAAATTCTGAAAATAAAGTTTAATAGCTAGGTTGCTTTTTATAATTTTTTATCATATATACGAATATATATTTTTTGTAAATGGGTAAAACCCCAAAATTTCATGTTCATACAATAAAATAAGTTCAATGATGTTCAAAAATCTGAATATAAGTATAGTTCATGTAGTTTGTGATGTAACAGATTGGTGTATGTATTTCATACTTAATAGAAATCGTTCGATTATGACATATTAATTATGCCTTTTTGCCTGGTATAAGGCCATCCTTAAAAAAATGATTGTTTGGAATTGCCGCCTGGGGGTTTTCAGACCCAGGAGGGAGGGAGGGATTTTATTTATTTTTTTTTTTACAAATTGACGCTAAATGATACAAAAAAATAATAAAATCTCAGTGAACAATGGTAATTTCCATTTATTATCCTCTTTCTTTTATTTTATTAATATTATTTGGTCCGATTTTCAAAAAAAAAGATATGCACAGAACGGTACTCAAATATTAGCCCCTTCACGATAACTGCGGTACTACACTTTTGCAGGGCAAAACAAGAACGTTTGGCAGAGTTTTTGTTGATAGATAATTAAATGACGTATTTTAAACAATTACTTTTACGTCATATTTCACCAAACTATATCATTTTGCCCTGCAAAAGAACAGTACCGTAGTTACTGTGAATCTCATTTAGATGTTAAGATCTGTTCATTTATACCGTTCACGGTAGCCTAGTGGTAGAGCGTTCGCTTCGTGATCGGGAGGTCCGGGTTCGATTCTCGTTCCCGGCGCCGCGTCAAACCTAAGACGTAAAAATAGGTAGCGACTGTTCCTTCGCCAAGCGCTCGGCATCAGAAGTGAAAGTCACGGGTCTTTCGGATATGACCTTAAAAATGTAGGTCCCGTGTCACGGTAGGCGCTGGCACGATAAAGAACCCTCACTGCTCAATGGCCCTGAGTGCCGAGTATAGGTCTAAATTTGAAGCCCTTCACCGGCATACGGTGACGTCTCCATATGAGTGAAAAATTCTCAAGAGGGACGTTAAACAATATACAATCAATCAATCAATCAATCTGTTCATTTATTAATAGTTAAATTTCAGCATCAAACTTCTAGTTTATTTTAAGAATCTTTATTAAACAATACTTTTATCAGTCTATTTCGTAGTATTCAATCTCTTTGTTAAGAAAATGCTTGCAAACAGTTTGAACCACACAATTTTTTTTTTAGGAATAGTTGGGATGTTTTGTGGAAAACCGGAAGGGGGTGCTTGGTACGTTCTCGAGTTTTCATCATGCATCAGTTTTAACATTACGTTTCAAAGACTTGTGATACTGATAGACAACATTTTCCCTTAAGTATTTTGGGATTAAACGTGTCTGATTCATGTAATTTTTTAAGTGGGAACTGAACGATCTTTTTTTTTCAACATGCCGGACTTAACTTATCAAGTTCAATGTGCAATATATTACAATAGCTCTTTCCACGTATCGTTGTATCATTCCATTTCATTTTTTATTCACCTTTTATTTTGATAGAGATGCATTAATGTTGTACTCTTCAACACAACGCTTGAATGTTTCTAACATGGTCTGACATTTTGGCGGCTTTTATTTTGTTAAAACGCCACCTATATTCGCTATATCATAAACACTATGAAGAAAGCGTTTTGTTGACCCGAGTTGTTAAGGAGGCTGGAGGGTCAACAAATTAATCCCAAATTAACCACCAGATTTAAATTATTTTTTTACATACGGTATCTTTAGCTATCAATTTTCAATTGACAAAGAAAAAATTCAGATATTTTAGCTTTAAATTTTGTATATCTTTATATGGAGCTCTCCTTTTAAAGGAGATTGAAATAGTCTAAAAATGGCTGCCACCCCCTAGCCTCGTTAAATTAATGTGAGCCCAAACCCGACTTAAAAAAAAGCTATTTCGACGAACGAACTAACTTGTATTAAACAATGTAAGACGATAAAACGATAAAAAAAAATATTGATAATATTTTGCCAATAAAATTTTTTGAGCGGGGGGTATTTTAAGGAGGCGGGCGGCAATTCCAAACAAACTATAATTTTATTTTGGCCTAATTCATTTCTAAAATGAACATTTTATATTTTTGAGACTGATTTCCGTGAAATCTAATTAAAATTGCAACGAGATATTTTTAAACCACAAAGCATAATTTACTAGTACGTGTGTATTTGGACTTTTTTCCCAAAATGTATATGCACTAGCATTACACAGATCTGTATTAGAGGGAATTTGGATACCGCAGCATCCATCCACATCCTTAAAATACTCAATGTGCCAAAAATTTGCAATAATCTATTTCCACTCTTTATCTAGCTTGCTTAGTCAAACCAGGGACCTATATACTTATAGTATATAGGTCCCTGGTCAAACAGTCATCACGCAAATTGACTATCATAAACTTTATATATAACTGTACAAATTTCCAAAAACAAAAGAAATTAACAAGCTTCATAAATCATCCTGCATATACTTTCATTAACTATCATTCCGGACACAAAAGTTAAAAGGCGAGAAGTAATATTAATCCATGCAGTAGGTCACTTCTGCAGCAGTGGAGAGATCTTGTCTAAATTAAGCTTTACACATATTAGAGATTCGCAAGCACACAATGCCCGCTGAGTTATCAATCAGCCTGAGTCAGGTGCACACATACACATGTATCGTAAACAAAACAGCTAGCCTAGACATGAAGTTTTGTTCTCTGCTTTCCAAATTGACTTTAAATTTTATAGCACATCTGATTACTAAGCCCATTGTTTTATTGTCTAAATATACTGTATCAATTTTTTTTCTGTTTTTAACCACCAGAATACCATCATGTTTTCTCATCACATTGCAGACGCTATGTTAGTAGGGAATTTCCTGTCTTAAAATTAGAAAACATGCACAATGTATGAATACATATCAGAATCGGTATGATTATTTAGGTGACAGATGCCTAAGAGGAAAT